TGAGCCCAGGAGTTGGAGGTTGCTGTGAGCGTGATGCCATGGCACTCTACCCAGGGGGATAGCTTGAGGCTCCGTCTCAAAAAAAAAAAAAGACAAAGGTGGAGCCAGGCATGGTGGCTCATGCCTGTAATCAATCCTAGCACTCTGGGAAGCTGAGGCAGGTGGATTGCCTGAGCTCATGAGTCTGAGACCAGCCTGAGCTAGAGTCAGACCTTGTCTTTAAAAATAACTGGGCGTTGTGGTGGGCACCTGCAGTCCCAGCTACTTGGGAGGCAAAAGCAAGAGAATCCCTTGAGCTCAAGAATTGGAGGTTTCTGTGAGCTGTGATGCCTAAGCATTCTTCTGAGGGCAACAAAGTAAGACTCTGTCTTAAAAAACAAAAAGAAAAGAAAGAAAGAAAAAGATGAACACTTTACACTGGTCAAAGGAACAATACAGCAAGAAGACATTTCAATTTAAATATTTATACATCCAATTAAACGCTCCCAGATTTATAAAATAGACCTTGATGTGTCTGAGCAATATGATACCCATAACACAGTAATAGTTGGGGACTTTAACAACCCTCTGACATAACTGGACAGATCATCTAAACAGAAACTAAAGATACAAAGGACTTAAATGTGACCCTAGAACAAATGAGATTAATAGACATAGACAGAACACACCATCCCAAATGTATATTCCAAAGCTAAGGAATATACATTTTTCTCATCAGCCTACGGTATGTACTCCAAAACTGACCACATCCTAGGATAAAAATCAAACTTCAGTAAAATTAAAAGAACAGAAATTATACCTTGTATCTTTTCAGACCACAAAGCAATAAATATGGTACTGAACTCCAACAAAAACATTCATCCTCACACAAAGATTTAGAAATTAAACAAACCTTATGCTGAATAATTGGGTTCCAGAAGAGAAAAAAGAAGAAATTGTAAAATTCCACAAACATAACAACAATGAAGACACAAATACCAAAACCTGTGGGATACAGCAAAAGCAAACTTCAGAGGGAAATTTATCTCATTAGATGCCTAGAGTTGAAAAACAGAAAGCGAACATATCAAAAACTCATGAACCATCTTATGGAATTGGAAAAAGAAGAACAATCTAATCCCAAACCCAGCAGAAGAAAAGAAATAACCAAAATTAAATTAAATCAGATATGAATGAAATTGAAAACAAAAGAATCATCCAGAAAATTACCAAAAACAAAAAGTTATTTTTTCTGGAAAAAATAAATAAAATTGATAAACCTTTGGCCAGATTGACTAGAAACAGAAAAGTAAAATCTCTAATGACCTCAATCATAAATGATAAAGGGGAAATAACAGATGCCTCAGAGATACAAGAAATCATCTCTGAGTAATACAAAAAACTCTATGCCCAGAAATTTGACAACATGGAGGAAATGGATCAATACCTAGAATCACACCCTCTCCCTAGACTTAATCAAGAAGAAACAGATGTCTCAAGCAGACCAATTTCAAGAACTGAGATCAAAGAAACAATAAAAAATCTCCCACAGGCTCAGCGTCTGTGGCTCAAGTGGCTAAGACACCAGCCACATGCACCTAAGGTGGTGGGTTCGAATCCAACCCAGGCCCACCAAACAACAATGATGGCTGCAACCAAAAAAATAATAGCCAGGCATTGTGGCGGGCACCTGTGATCCTAGCTACTTGGGAGGTGGAGGCAGGAGACTCGCTTGAGCCCAGGAGTTGGAGATTGCTGTGAGCTGTGATGCCACGGCACTCTACCCAGGAGGACAGCTTGAGGCTCTGTCTCAAAAAAAAGAAAAAAATCTCCCACCAAAAAATGCCCTGGTCTAGATGGCTTCACGCCAGAATTCTATCAAATCTTCAAAGAAGAGCTCATACCCATACTGCAGAAATTATTCCAAAAAATTGAGAAGGAAGAAATCTTCCTCAACACATTCTATGAAGCAAATATTACCCTGATATTAAAACCAGGAAAAGACCCAACTAAAAAGGAGAACTTAAGACCAATTGACTAATAAATATAGATGCAAAAATTCTCAATAAAATCCTAACCAAGGCTCGGTGCCTGGGGCTCACGTGGCTAAGGTGCCAGCCACATACACCTAAAGCTTAAAAAAAAAAAGAATGGAGAAGCAAGAATCCAATGTACTCAAATCTATTATGAAGGCAGTAGATAGCTAATACAAGGTGCAGGGGAGGGGGAGGAGGGAGGAGGGAGGAGGGAGGAGGGAGGAGGATGGGGGTGGTCATGGTATATGGCATACCTCTTGGGGGTGGGACATAATTATAAGAGGGTCTTCATCTAACAAAGGTAATCAGTACACCTAATTCTTTGTACCCTTGAAGAATCCCAAACAATAAAAAAAATTTCTCCTTTCACAACAGCTATTCAACATTGTACTGGAAGTTCTTTTTTTTTGAGACAGAGCCTCAAGCTGTGCCCCTGGGTAGAGTGCCGTGGCATCACAGCTCGCAGCAACCTCCAACTCCTGGGCTCAAGTGAGTCTCCTGCCTCAGCCTCCCAAGTAGCTGGGACCACAGGCACCCGCCACAACACCCGGCTATTTTTTGGTTACAGCCATCATTGTTGTTTGCCAGGCCCGTGCTGGATTCCAACCCACCACCTTAGGTGTATGTGGCTGCGCCTTAGCCACTTGAACCACAGGCCCCGCGCCTGTACTGGAAGTTCTAAGCAGCACAATTAGACAAGGAAAAGAAATAAAAGTCACCCAAATTGGAAAGGAAAAAGTAAAACTGTCAATTTGCAAATGATGTGATTCTATATATAGAAAATCCCACTGAATTCACAGAAAGCTATTAAGAGTTAATTAGCTAGGCCAGCCCACACCTGTAATCCCAGCACTCTGGGAGGCCCAGTTGAGTGAATCCCTGAGCTCAGGAGATCAAGAGCAGCCTGAGCAAAAGTGATACCCCATCTCTAAAACTAGCTGGGTGTTGTGGTGGGCACCTGTAGTACTGGCTACACAGGAGGCTGAGGCAAGAGAATCACTTGAGCCCAAGAGTTTGAGGTTGCTATGAGCCATCATGCCACGGCACTCTACCAAGGATGGTAGAGTGAGACCGTCTCAAAATTAAAAAAAAAAAGTAGGTAAATACTGAATCAACACCCCAAAATCTGCTGTTTCTATACATGCACAATGAATAATCTAAAAATGAAATTAGTAAAAATTCTATTTACAAAAGCAGTTAAAATTAAAATTAAATACTGCTATGGTTTGAATGTAGCCTCCAAAACTCATGTGTTGGAAACTTAATTCTCAATGCAATAGAATTGAGAAGTAGGAACTTCATGAATGGATTAATGCCATTATTGTGAGAGAGGGCTTCCTTATATAATAAAAGGATGAGTTCAGGCCAGGAGCAGTGGCTGATGCCTGTAATGCTAGCACTATGGGAGGCTGAGGTGGGTGGACTGCCCTGAGCTCACAGGTTCAAGACCAGCCTGAGCTAGAGCGAGACCCCATCTCTAAAAAAATACCCGGGCATTGTGGCAGGTGCCTGTAGTCCTAGTTACTTGGGAGGCTAAGGCAAGAGAATTGCTTGAGTCCATGAGTTTGAGGTTGCTGTGAGCTATGATGCCATAGCACTCTACTGAGGGCAACAAAGTGAGACTCTGTCTCAAAAACAAAAAAAAGTTGGGCCCTTACCATATAAAAATCGATACATAAAAATTATATCAGATATATCAATGATCTAAATGTAGGAGTTAAAACCATGAAACTCATAGAAGAAAATACTAGAGAAAATCTTGGTAGCTTTGGCAACAACCTTGTGGATATGACAAAAAAAGCAAAGGCAAACAAATAAAAAACAGATAAACTGGACTTTGTAAAACTTTGGGACTTTTGTGTATCAAAGGATATTGTCAAGAAAGTAAAAAGATCTACTTAATAGTAGAAAATGTTGACTGACCATATATGTGATAAAGGGTTAATATCCAGAATACATCAAGAACTCCTAAACTCAACAACAACACACAACTGGATTAAAAAATGGACAAAGTAGAGCATTCGGCAGTTGCCACTGCTCAAATCGTACACTTCTAGCTCTTGCACCTCGCTCCGCTTCCCCCGCAACCATGTCTGACAAACGTGATGTGGCTGAGATGGAGAAATTTGATAAGTCAAAATTGAAGAATGGAAATGCAAGAGAAAAATTCACTGCCTTCCAAAGAAACAATCCAACAGGAGAAGCAAGCAGGTGAGTTGTAATGAGGCGAGCGGGTCCAGTATGCGCTGTACATTTGCATTGCCTTCTTATTTTACTTCTTTTAGCTGTTTAACTTTGTTAAGATGCAGAGAGGTTGGATCAAGTTTAAATGACTGTGCTGCCCCTTTCACATCAAAGTATCCAGAACTACTGACAACGAAGGCACCTGCCTCTACCATCTGCCTGTCTGGCTGGCAGGGAAGGAAAAGAACTTGCACGTTGGTGAATAATCGGGGTGGGACGACAGTGAAATCTTTTTTTTTTTGAGACAGAGCCTCAAGCTATCCCCCTGGGTAGAGGGATAGATAGGGGTAGATGCTGTGGCATCACAGCTCACAGCAACCTCCAACTCCTGGGCTCAAGTGAGTCTCCTGCCTCTGCCTCCCAAGTAGCTGGGACTGCAAGTACCCACCACAACACCCGGCTATTTTTTGGTTGCAGCCGTCATTGCTGTTTGGCAGGCCCAGGCTGGATTTGAACCCGCCACCTTAGGTGTATGTGGCTGGCGCCTTAGCCACTTGGGAGCCACAGGCGCCGAGCTGACAGTGAAACCTAAAGTGAAAACTAAGTTGGCCCCAGGGTTTCTTGCAGGCTGTAAAATGCAGTTAATTGTGAGTTCCACGTTTTTTTCATTCAAATGATTTTAATTATTAGAATGTACATTTTTATTAATGCAAATAAAAAGTTTTAAAACCTGAAAAAAAAATGGACAAAGGGGCCAGGTGTGGTGGCTTACACCCTGTTTGAGCCAGAGCGAGACCTCATCTCCAAAAAAAATAGCCAGGTGTGGTGATGGGTGCCTGTAGTCCCAGCTACTCAGGAAGCTGGGCAAGAGGATCTCTTGAGCTCAAGAGTTGGAAGCTGCAATAAGCTGTGATGCCATAGCACTCTACCGGGCGATAGACTGTCTCAAAAAAAAAAAAAAGGATACAGGACTTGAATGGAAATTTCTCCAAATATACATAAATGGCCAATAAGCACAAGAAAAGATGCTCAACATCATTTATAATTAGGGAAATGCAAACCAGAACCACAATGAGATATCAGTTCATACCTCCTAAGATGGGTATAATTTGGAAAAATAAACTCAGAAAATAACAAGTGTTGGGGAGGACACAGAGAAACTGCAATCCTGCACTGCTGGTGGGAATGTAAAATGATCCAGCTGCTGTGGCAAACACAGAACCACCATATCACCCAGCAACCCCGCTCCTAGGTGTACATCCAGAAGAACGGAAAGCAGAGGCCCAGACACATACTTGTATATCAGTGTCCTGGTAGCAGCGTTATTCATTATAGCCAGAGGGTAGAGACAGCCCCGTGTCACTGACAGATGGGTGAGTAAATAAAATGTAGGTGGCACCCATAGCTCAGTGGGTTAGGGCACTGGCCACATACACCGAGGCTGGCAGGTTCGAACCTCAGCCCGGCCAGCTAAAACAACAATGACAACTGTAACAACGACAACAAAAGAAAAATATAGCTGGGTGTTATGGTGGGCGCCTGTAGTCCCACCTACTTGGGAGGCTGAGGCAAGAGAATCGCCTAAGCCCAAGAATTTGAGGTTGCTGTGAGCTCTGACACCACACACTCTACCCAGGGCAATAGCTTGAAACTGTCTCAAAAAAATAAATGAACAAATAAAATGTAGTACATACATACAATGCAGTGAATATTCAGCCTTACAAAGGAATGAAATTCTGACTCATGCTGCAACATAAATGAACCTTAGAGACATGCTAAACAAACGAGCCAAACACAGAATGTCAAGTATTGTATGATTCCCCCACTGTGAGGTACCTAGAGTAGGCAAATTCATAGGGAGAGAAAGGAAGAGAAGTTTCCAGGGGCTAGGAAGAAGGGGAAACGAGGTTATTGTTTAATGAGTACAGAATTTTTGTTAGGGATGTTAAAAAATTGTGGAAGTGTAAAAGTTTGGGTATAGTGGTAATTGTTACACTTGTGAATGTATCTAACATCACTAACTTACAAAGGGTTAAAGTGATAATTATTATGTCTATTTTATGACAATTAAAATGTTAGAAGTCATCACCAACCCCTACTCCCACCCAGTGAGTAGAGCTTAGCCAGGTAAGAGGAAATGGGGCAGCTATCTCCATAGAGGGAACTTCTAAACTCACAGTGCTAGGAAGTAGTGGTGTCAGTTCTCCTTCCTTGGGGGCGGGGCCCAGTTTGTTGCAGAAACCTGCTGCTTTCCCAGGGACAGTGTGACGCATGGCCATCCTGCAACCCATCCTGCAACCCGAGGCCAAGAGCAAACCACTATCTTCTCAGATGCATGCTGAAAAGATGGGCTGCACCCCTTTCCCACAGAAACCACACCCCTGGGCTCACCTGGGTGGCAGGAGAAGTAAAGAGTTCTCTGGCAAGCTCTTCTAAGGCCTCCCCATTCCGGCCACAGAGCACTAGCTTAGCACCTGCAGCGTAGAAGACTTTTGCGCATTCTAAGGGAAGAGAAAAGAACCTTCAGAGCAGAGATCCCAGTTCTGTTCAAATCTGCCCAATGTTCCCTGTTGGCTTCTTCACACACTTGACACAGGTGTTTGCCTCTGCTATGGATCAGCATGGAGCTAGGAGGTAGCGAGCTCATCTAGTGGTGCTACAGACAACCATGAGAGGTGTGGGGAGAGGTAGATTTAAGTACTATGCTCAGAACTTTCCGTAATGCTCCCATGGCCACCCTGTGAGCACCATCCCCATTTCACACCTAAGGAAGCATGGTTCATTAGGCAGGAAACTATCCCAAGTTGGCTGGGACAGGCAAGGCCAGCTGTTATGATCCTGTGGCCCACTGAAGCTGTGTTCTAGCACCACACAGGCATTTCCCAAGTTGCTTAAATGCAATCAGCACAGGTCTACTGGGAGTACTTATGTGGGTCTGTAGAAAAACAGGGGCACAGGGTAGGGAGGGAGTCCTGAAGTCTGACAGGCTGTTTCCCAGAGAGTGAGGCAGGGAGAGCAGAGGGAGCTAAGCCCCTGACAACCACAGACAGATGCAATTGGACCAAAAAGTGTAGGGTCTAACAGTGTCTTTGGGCTGGAGGAGGGCGTCAGGCTGCAAGAGGCACAACTGGACTTAACTGAGTGAATGACACTGGGCATCACAGCAGTGAAGGGCACCTGCACTGTGAGGCTCACTTCTGCTGTGTGTGGGGGGCATTGGGGCAGCCCAGGCTCCACTGAGCCCACTACAGTATTGTGACAACTGAGGACTTCAACCAGGACCGCAGCAGGGGAAAAGTAGAAAGCCAGCTGGGCAGCTCTATTACTCAATACTCTACTCGTGGCAAGAAACAGAAACTCAACTCACTCTGGGGTAAAACAAAAAAGAATTATCAGAGCGATTCTGAGGACATTCAAAAATGAGGAAGAAATGAATGGCTAAGACTTGGGAGGGTCAGCGGTGCTGACGCCCAGGCTTTCTTACATGCAGCATGCCCTTCTCGGGGTCCTCTCTGTGAGATGGGAGCTGTAGGCAGCGCTGGGCTCATATCTACACAACTCCTTGTCAACAAGACAGGAGTCTGTCTTGTCTCTCTTACCTCTAGGGTCATAATCTTGTTTTTTTTTTTTTTTTTGAGACAGTCTCAGTATGCTGCCCTAGGTAGAGTGCCGTGGTGTCATAGCTCACAGCAACCTCCAACTCCTGAGCTTAGGCGATTCTCTTGCCTCAGCCTCCCAAGTAGCTGGGACTACAGGCCCCTGCCATAATGGCTGGCTATTTTTTTTATTGCAGTTGTCATTGTTGTTTAGCAGGCTGAGGCCTGGCTTGAACCTGCCTACCTTGGTGTATGTGGCCAGCGCCCTACTCACTGAGCTATGGGCACTAAGCCTAGAGTCATAATCTAAAGGAAGGCTGTCAGGCAGCAAATCTTAGACTAGACCAGTGCAGAAGCAGGAGCCACGTGTGAATCCCCTGTGGCTAAAGGGGTGGGGAAGAGGTAACACCACCTAAAGCAGGAGGTGAAGCCATCAGGAAGGGCTGACCTGTGCAGGGAGTGGCATCACGCCTGCCACCTCCCTGTTTATCCTCCCCTTGCATGACCTCCCTACATGTTCAGGGTAGCAGCCCTGGGGTCAAGAGAACGGCCTGTAGCTTTGACTTCCTGTGTCCAACCTTGACTTCCCACGCTTACTGTTCTGTGGCCTCTGTTAACTTTGAACCTCTTGGTTTCTCACTGTCCTCTTTAAGATACAGGTAAGAACAGGCCACAGGGTGACTGTGCGTTGAATGAGTTAAAGCAGGTGACCTCTTTACAAAAGCACTGCACAAGTATTAACTGTTTCTATATTTCTTTTTTTTGTTTGTTTCTATATTTCTTAGCTGCCTTGTTCTAAAACTGACTGACAATGAGAACTGAAGTGTGTGGGTTTTTTTTTTTTTTTTTTGAGACAGAGCCTCAAGCTGTCACCCTGGGTAGAGTGCCATAGCATCACAGCTCATAGCAATCTCCAACTCCTGGGCTCAAGAGAGTCTCCTGCCTCCGCCTCCCAAGTAGCTGGGACCACAGACGCCAGCCACAATGCCTACCTATTTTTTTTTTTTTTTTTTGGTTGCAGCCATCATTGTTGTTTGGCGGGCCCGGGCTGGATTCAAATCCGCCACCTTAGCTACTTGAGCCACAGGTGCTGAACCAAGTGTGTGGGTTTAAAGAGGCACCACCTGTCCTCCCTGAGCTCTAGTCTCTCCCAAATGTTTGTGAAGATCTTCACAAGACACCTCTGCCCCCAGCTGGCCCCAACTCAACCAGTGAGCTACTTGTGGTCCCAGATGAAGCAGGGCTATATATAAAAATAGCACTGCCAGGCAGAGGGATCAGAGCTGTCACCTCCTCAGCTGGAAGAGAAGTCAGAGGGTTCAGGCAGTGCCTCTTGGTCTGACAGCCCTTCCCTCAGAGAAGGGTTGAACTTCCCTAAAGCCAGAAGAGTTCAAAACAGGAGAGGAGAAGAAATCCCAGTATCTTCCAGCACACGGGGTCCTGAAAGGCCGGCTGTCTTAGGAGCAAAGGCCTCTTCACACTCCACAGGGGCTCACGTAGCTCTGCCCACAGTGTTCACTTGGCCCCTCAGTGCCTCTCTGCACTCCTTGGACAGAGCTTTCTGGAAGGAGGTGCTGAGCAGACTGAATCAATACACTTCCAGGGTGCTGCACCATCTTCTCTGAAGGAAATCTAGTCGGTTCATCCTGATAAAGTACAGCAACCCAGAGAGCTGTGGCCACTGTTTCTGCCCACCCTGGGCCCAGCCCCAGCTGCCTGCCTAGTAGGCCTCCTCAGTGTGGCAGAACAAGCCTCCCAGGAATGGAGACTTCACGCCAGGCCACAAGCCAGCATTTCTGAGGCTGGAACTGCTTATCCAGTTTACTTAAATCATTCCCACTGATTAGGAACCTTGGGCCCTGCAGGCTTCCTCACCTCATTTTGTCCTATCCTGACTAAGGCATAGGACATTTTGGCAGCAACCAAGGGGTGTGTACACAGAACCAAAGGTGAGAGTCATGTTTGGGTATGGACAGCTTCTAGAAAACGATTGCCTAAATTCTGCTTAAACTTTTCTTCCTAGCAAAGCTTAAAAGGGAGGAAATTAAAGTTTGGGTAGGGAGTGACAGAAATGCAAACAGATTAGAAGGATTTCATTTTCTTTTTTTTCTTTTTTTTTTGAGACAGAGCCTCAAGCTATCCCCCTGGGCAGAGTGCCATGGCATCACGCTCACAGCAACCTCCAACTCCTGGGCTCAAGCGAGTCTCCTGCTTGAGTCTCAGCTTCCCAAGTAGCTGGGACTACAGGCGTCCGCCACAATTCCTGGCCATTTTTTGGTTGCAGCCATCATTGTTGTTTGGTGTGCCCGGGCTGGGGATTCGAACCCGCCACCTTAGGTGTATGTGGCTGGCGCCTTAGCCGCTTGAGCCACAGGCTCCAAGCCGAAGGATTTCATTTTCATTTTTTTAAAAAAGTTTTCACAGGGAGGCAGAAAGTTTAAAGGCAAAAGGAAAACCATTCCAAGATACCATTTCTCTAGGGCTGCAGATGATTCTCCATTGTTGTAGGCATGCCTAGGCTGTACTTGACCATGTGGCTCAGGCTGGCTAAAAGAGGCATCCAGAACATTCTATTCTTTTAGCCAGTGGTCCTACTATTTTACAAGAACAAGCTCATGTAGCTTAAATATACAAACACAGGAGACAAGGTAGAAGAAATACAGAAAGCCACCTCAAGACTCCTCACAGAAGACCAACTCTTCAAGGACAGCTGCACAACAGGCAGAGCCACTGGGGACAGTGGGGCTTGCCCTCCTCCCAGGGAGCAGCAGAGGGTGTCTGTCCTTGAGGGTCAGCACTTGAGGCCAGTGCTGGATGGAGGGATTCCTGTCCCCAAGATGCTAAATGAGGCTTCCAGTTGAAACAGAATGACTGGAGTCCAGGGAAGGCCTGACATCATACACATGGGTAATTATGATAAGTTTGAGATACACAAAAATCAAGATGCCTAAAATCTGCATGAATGGTAACAAACAAAGACCTCCCAGCAACACTGACAAGCTGGGCAAGTTGAAACTTGCACAGGTGAATCAGAAAAAGGGTGCTGTCAGCTGTTCTGTGGAACAGAAATAATGACCCCAAATATAGTCTGTCTCAAAACTCTTGTATGACCCACATACTATCTCTACAGGTTTTGGTATTCTGTGACATTTTCTATTCCCTTCACAGTCTTGGTTGTCAGTTGCCATGTAGAATGGTGATGAGGGCAACATCCTTATCAAACATCCATATACTGGGGCACCTGCAACTCACAGCTCACCTCTTCAGTCTGCTCTCAAGATACTCTTTAAGGACTAAAAAAATGCTTTTATCTGGAAGAGGAAAAGCTATTGACTACCCTATATGTAGTAGTTGCATAAAATCAGAGGACTGACCCATAGCAAAGGGCCTGTGGACAGCTGTCCTTTCAAAGGTCTGCATATCCACTGACATTTCATACCACAGTGGCATACAGATGAATCCATGCTCCTCAAGCCTTCTCAGGCTCCCAGACTGAATGCAAACCAAGTACTCTACAGACAAGGCCCCTCTGCTCCTTATGTTCATGCAACACTCAACACTCCCTGCACAGCCATGTGGCTCCCAGCCCTGGCCCTATCTGGATGCCTTCCCTACTGGCTCACCCTTTCCCTTAGCCATCTCTTCCTCCCAAGGTGAGGCTTTACTACTGGAATCAGGGAGACATGGGTTTGAACTTTGGCTTTGAACTTTCTGGCTGGAAGTCGTAGGGCAAGTCATACTTTCTCTGAATCTCAGCTGTGAGAATTCAGTGAGATAACTGTGCCTTTACCCATCAGGCCTGGCTGGAAGCACCATCACTGAAATGGTTACGTGCTCAGTCCTTGCCTTTCTCCTTGAAGCAGGGACTGGGAACTCCTTGAGGGAAGAGACCCTGTCTTTCTGCCCTAACCTTGGCCCAGAGCCTTGTACTTAGCAGATGCCTACGTCAGCTCTGGTTATGCTACCACCAACCAAAAGATGCAGCCTCGGTGGGCTTACTGTAATCCAGGGAGCTCCTAGCCTTCTTCCATGGATTTGAGCTTCAGTGTGAGTGGCATACAGTGGGATGTGTGCCTGTGCAGACACTGAGGCATGAGATTCACACAACGTGTCCATATTCATCTAGGCTGCCAAGTCAATATTCGTGTATGGGGAGAGCACAATGGAGCTCCCAACACGTCTGTACTGAGGGAGAGCAGTAGAGCTCCCAACTCATCTGTACAACTTCCAGGAAAGAGACAAGGTGGGCTAGGGTGTGAATGCCTCTAGGCCCAAGTCCCAGCATATGATCCCTGAGACTCAGAAGTTCAAGGTGTTCACAGAACTGGAATGGACCTACACTGGAGAAGTATTCTGTCTCTGACCCTGCTGAGAAAGGACAGACATAGAGAAGGCACACACCAAGGCCCTGAGCTGGGTGTGCTGGCTGAATCCAGGAAAGGGCATATTTCGTTTGGCCCTCACAGAGGTAAGAACACTTTTTTTTTTGAGACAGAGTCTCACTATGTCGCCCTTGGTAGAGTACTGTGACATCACAGCTCACAGCAACCTCAAACTCTTGGGCTTAAGCAATTCTCTTGCCTCAGGCTCCCAAGTAGCTGGGAACTACAGGCACCCACCACCATGCCCGGCTATTTTTTTTTTTGCACTTGTCATTGTTTAGCTGGCCCAGGCCGGTTTCGAACCTGCCAGCCTTGGTGTATGTGGCTGGCGTCATAACCACTATGCTACAGGCACCAAGCCACTTTTAAGTTAGTTGTCTATATTTGAAAATTCCTACTTCCACAAGCAGCTACAGCTGAGAGAGGCTGCCCTAAAGGAGGGCGGGCACATGGCCTCCTGCTGGCCAGCCTTTCTGCCTGCTCCTGCCTCCCCTCCTGGTACGGACAGGCAGGATCGTGTCTCACTGTGCTTTGGCTCCCGTTTTTTTCCTCTTGGACCAAGGACAGTGCCACTCTGCCCACTTCACTTATTTGCACTTCCTGCTGCCACTTCAGGCACTTGTGCTGGTGGTCCCTGTGCAGCTGAGCCGCCCCTTGTCCCTGGCCGATGTCCCCTAGGACCCACCTTTCCCCAGTCCCGAGGTGGCGCCTGTGATCACCACCACGGCCCCGCGTAGGTAGGCTTTCATGCGCATCCACTGTAGCAGCCGGAGCAGGCCAAAGATGCCCAGACACCCGAACAGCAGGGGCAGAATGGCCGCAGAAGCGATGAAGTCCATGACCCTCAGCTTCAGTGGACTCTTCCTGGAAGAACAAATACTCTAGTGACAAAGGAGAACTCTGGGGACTTGCCAAGGCTCTTCCCCCAGTCTGATACAAATCCCAGAGCTCTCTTCTGCAGACTTAGGCTCTGAGCCTCAGCAGGTATCTTTCCAGGCCCTGCACGCTATGCTGACTATCCTGGCCCATGAACCTGTTTGCTCTGTCTGTACTGACATGAGCAGACAGCAAAGCCATAGCCTCATGACGCTACTCCAAGAATAAGCTGAGGCTTTTCAGTGACTACCCGGTGAGTGTCACTGGAAGAGGTGGCATATCAGTACTCACCTGATTCTGCTTCAAAACCTGTTGTTGCATTACCCCAAGTAATGCCCCATTATCATTTTCAGTTCCTGAATATGTGTGAAATCAAAGTATTTAAAAAAAAAAAAATCAAACCAATCCTTTTTTTTTTTTTTTTTTTGAGACAGAGCCTCAAGTTATCCCCCTGGGTAGAGTGCCATGGCATCACACTCACCGCAACCTCCAACTCCTGGGCTCAAGCGAGTCTCCTGCCTCAGCCTCCCAAGTAGCTGGGACTACAGGCGCCCGCCACAACACCTGGCCATTTGTTTGGTTGCAGCCATCATTGGTGTTGTTTGGCAGGCCCGGGCTGGGGATTCGAACCCGCCACCTTAGGTGTATGTGGCTGGCGCCCTAGCTGCTTGAGCCATAGGCGCCGAGCCAATCATACCAATCCTTGTACTCTTCAGAGCAGACACTTAGGAGATGGATGTTTCCGGATGGGGCAGCCCTAAATGGTATTTGTGATGGCCCCAGATGGAATTCTGACCACAGGCCACAAAGACACACAGGCACACAGAGGGAAGGCAGTGAAGGGCAGAGCTGCCTTGTGTCAAGTGTCAGCACAGACTCTGGCTGGTAAATGTGGCCACATGCACACACATGCGCTCACTGAGCATTCTCTAGTGAGCCATGGTCAGCCGGAAGAAACCAGGAGGCCACACAGTGTTTGTGCAAGAGTGTGCAGTCAATTCTTAGGAAATGTATTCATTTTTTCCACAACTGCCCTTACATCCCCCGAACCTCCCCTATTCCTTAGTATTCACCCATGTCCCTGTGCCCAGCGAAGAACTAACAGGGAGACTCAGAGTTAAAGATCAGGTATGAGCTAGAGAGGAGCAATGCCATGTGTTGTCGCTTTGTAATGAACACTCTGTGAGGCCACTGGAGGAGCAGGCCAGAGTCTACTGGACAAATGGCCCCTCACAGTCCACCCCAGGACTGTGCTTTCATAAGCACAGCAATCCTTTTCTCAAACGAAGAGGCTGGAAACCAAGAACAACATTGTAGGAAACCAGCCACATAAAACTCTCACCCGCCTCTAAATGTCCCATCTCCTCAAACCCACATAATTAAAAAAACATTCTGCTTTCTTTCCTGAGATGATACAAACTCTACAGATGCCAAAGTGAAGCCACAAACACTGCAGAATAAGATGTCCACCCACACGCTAAGTTGCCTGATCCTGATCTGTATTAAACTGTCTCACTGCAACGGGGTTCTGCTCCAACTTGAACTTTCAACTCAACTGTTTGGTATTTACTTTTAAGTTTGACCTGTCTTCCTAAATATACCTAAATTCTTCATCACCATAAAAATAACAACATTCTTGGACTGTAGAAATGATTGTTTCTCCTCAACCACTACCTACCTAATTCACTTCTGAAAAATTCTCAGCTACTGTCCTCAGAGTGGGTACAGCTGGCTTTCACCTGCACTGTGCCAAGCCTATGCTGGATTAACTGGGAGTTAAAGTGGCATCTGAAGTTCCAAGCTCTTCATGGGAGCATTGCTGGCACCCTCCCCTCAGGCCAAGTGCTCTAGCCTATAGGCCAAGCTAGAATAGTCCCAAGGAGATGCCAAGACCCAAGGAAGCTTTGTCTGACCCAAGGAAGCTGAGTGGCAACCTTTAGGAGCTCACTAAAGGTTCAGAGCAGGCCCCAATGTCTCCGCTATTCCAAGGTTCTGCAGGTGCTTCCTAGATTCCTCCGCAGAGCTCAGGTCCTAAAATTGGGAGGATTTCCCAAAGACAGGAGGGGTAAATAGGCAGGAGAGGGGCAGGAATGGTTGCCAGCTTTTTGGAATAGCTTTACCAGAAAATTATAACAATTGACAGAGGCATAGGTAGGCCCTGAGCTAAATATAGCTTAGAATTTTCATATAATAAACCAAGGGTAGGATGGATAAGATTACAACCTAGCTGGATGGTTGTTTGGGAAAAGCTTTTTTCTCTCTGCAAACCCAGATCCTTGCCCCAGGCAGGTTGTCTGGACAGGACCACCCTGCTTTATCCAGATGGCTCAGGGCCCAGCCTCCACCTAGGATGACCCAGCCCAGGATGAACTGTGAGGTGAAGCAGGGCCCAGCACTCCACCAGCTGTGCAGAGTGGGTGGAAACTGCTCTGCAGTCTTCCCAGAGGCCCTGGAGACAGAGCCTGCGTAGTCTGACCCACTGTAAACCTGCAGTGTGGCCAAGCAGCAAGGAGGCAGCCTGTCAACTTGCAAAATGGACCTGAGAAACCCCTAACTGGGCACAAATACAGTGCAAGGGTCATGAGGACAAACCCCTAGAGTCAGCCTGGCTGGGCTCCATCCTGGTCAACTGCTTCCCAGCCTGGCAAAGGGACCTATCACCATGGGCCTTGGTGTCCTCATCTCTAAGATCAGGGTATGAGGGAATCTGTCTGTGTACACAGCCCCTGTCTCAGGTTAAGTGCTCAGGGAACACAGCTGCCATAGGCACTACCATGTCCCATAACTAACACAAACCTCCTAGCCTAGGAATTCACTCCAAGGAGTTCAGATTTCCAAGGGTATCTGAAAGAGTCCTTGGTTTATGAATAGTAGTTCTTTCCAAATAAAGGAAACTCATTCAACATAGAGTTTGATGTGGTTTAATTTTAATATCTTCATAAACCCTTTATTGTAATTAAATTAACAAATAGAAAAACAAAAGCCTGTCACAGGAAGTCAAGATCCCACATCCCAAGTTTTAGGTCAAGGCCAATGTGATCAATGCCAACAATGCAAGGAAAGGGCAAACAGGTACTAAAATGTCCCTTAGCCTTTTTTTCATACCCAGAGAGAAGCAAGATGAAAATAAGCCAGACCAGCAAGGCTCCCCAACAGAAAATGATTAAAGCTCCCCCCAAATTGCATTTTCATACAACCTAATTAAAACCTAAACCAGCAATCCATGACAGGAAGAAAAGAGAGAAAGCTACATACCATCTTGTACAGTTCTGGGATTCCTTGAGCACCTGACACAGCACAGGTCACAGCCCTGCGGGGTTACCAGTGACTGGGTGTGACAGAGGTGCAAGGTGGGGAAGGAAGAATCAACTTTCCCAGACTAATTCATTTCCTGGGGGGAGGGGGAGGTCCATCTAAGTCCACGGAGCACCAGAACAAATCATACTTGAGCTGCCAGCAGACCCCCTGCTATCTAGTTGCTGGAGACCTTTTGAACTCCCTCATTTTGGACCGAGTGCTGACTGGGACAATTGATTTAGATCTCTCGAACTACACCAATCACCTGAGAACTATCCAAAGTGGTACCCTGGGTGTGTGGTTGTGGGAAGGTTTGATTTTCCTTTTCTAGTTGTTGCCCATGCGGGGGGACAGGGTGACTTAATTGCTGGTATTTCTTCACAGCTGAGACTTCAACCCAAAGTAACTAATTCACTAGGGTAGGACAGAGAGCAGCTGAAAACAAGACAGAGCCACTTAGTCCCACCACCACAAGTAAGTCCCCAGTGTCTCAGGCCATAGCACTGTACAGGTCCTTTGCAAAGCTCTAGGGGAAAAGTTACAGACATCAGTCACAGCTCTTGCGCAAAGGGCTGGTTAATCACTACATCAGGAGTCCCCCAACACAACATTACCTTATCTTCTCATCTAGTCAAATGGTGTAAAATAATCATGTGGTGGAATCAGCAAAAAAAAAAAAAAAGTCTGGTAACATGAATAACCAGAGTAGATGAACTCCCCCAAGGAACAATATGGTGGACACAACTGAAGATCCCATTCATAAACAAATGGTTGAGATGTCAGAAATCCAATTCAGACTTTGGATTGCAAATAAGATTAATGGAATGGAGGCAAAGTTGGAATTAGAAATTCAAGGAGCAATTCAAAGTTGTCTCAAGAATTCAATGAATTCAAAGACAAAATTGCCAAAGATTATGACACACTGAGACAAGATTTTGCAGCCCTCAAAGATCTGAAAAAATACAGTAGAATCCCTCAGTAACAGAATGAAGCAGGCAGGAGAAAGGATTTCTGACATTGAATACAAAGCTTTTGAATGCTCCCAAACACTCAAAGAGGAAGAGAAATTGAGAGTAAAAACAGATCATTCTCTCAGAGAGCTCTGGGATAATTGGAAGAAAACTAATATTCACCTTGTAGGAATTACTGAAGGCGACGAAGCTGCTTCACAAAGCACAGAGGCCCTTCTTCATGAGATTATGAAAGAGAACTTTCAGGACATGTCAAGAGATTTTGAGGCTCGGCGCCTGTGGCTCAACCGGCTAAGGCGCCAGCCATGTACACCTAAGGTGGTGGGTTCAAATCCCTAGCCCGGACCCGCCAAACAACAATGACGGCTGCAACCAAAAAATAGCCGGGCGTTGTGGCGGGCTCCTGTGGTCCCAGCTACTTGGGAGGCGGAGGCAGGAGACTCGCTTGAGCCCAGGAGTTGGAGGTTGCTGTGAGCTGTAATGCCATGGCACTCTACCCAGGGGGACAGCTTGAGGCTCTGTCTCAAAAAAAAAAAAAAAAAAAAGAGATTTTGAAATTCAGATAGCAGACAGTTTCAGAACCCCCGCACAATTCAACCTGAATAAGACAACCCCCAGGCACATCATAATTAACTTCACTGAAGTTAATATGAAGGAGAAAATTCTGAAAGCAGCCAGATGTAAGAAAACCATAATCTACAAGGGAAAGAATATTAGAAT